ATATAAAATAAAATAGCATCTTGAATCAAAGAAGTTTTACTGTTTACTTGAGATTTTATTTATATTATGATTTATTAAAATAATAAAAATGATACAGGTATTATACCGGTGTTACCAGTATTGAAATAATTCAGTACCGAAATACCGGTATTCTAAAATGTTATCGGTATTGGATGTACTAATATTAAACTATGTTTAATTATGAACATTTTAAGTACTTGTTGAAATATTTTGAATGTTTATTAAAAAAGTTATTTAAGTTTTGTCATATACGTTTGAAAGTAAAAATTTAAAAATGGAAAAAATTGAATATTGAGCATATATTAAAACCCGTGCTCTACTTGGAGTTTCATCACAAGCCATAACCGATGAATTGGTTTTAGTTCATGGTGACCAAGCTCCAAAATATAGTAAAGTTTCCAAAAGGGCTACTTTATTTAAAGATGATAGAGAGAGTCTTGAAGATAATCCTTGCTCAGGGCACCCTCAAACCACGTATACAGCTAAGAATATTGAACGTGTGTGAGCCATCATTGAAGAAAATCCGCATGCAACACATGATATAATTGAAGCCCTGATATCAACTAATCGTTTTACAATCAAAGAAATTATTCCCAACGCACTTAAAAAAATAAAACTAACATCACGTTAGATACCCCACGAGTTAACCGATCAAAATGACACAAGTGTCATTTTGATCGGTTAACTTGCTGACACAAGTCAGCTAAAGCTAGTTGGGTCAGTGAAGGTGAAAGTCCAAGAACTATAGTAAGATGCGATAGATTTCAGCCGAAAAGCTCTACATCTTCTTCAAAACAACAGGTGTATCAACACTTAAGTAATGTCAGATAAAAAAAATTTATAAGCATCTAAGCAAAAAAAAAAGGAAAAATTTTTTTTAACTTTTTTTGGTAAAAAATAGAATAAGTGCCCGTGTATCTTACTCGACTACTTTTCAACAATATTTTATTGGGCATTGTTTTAACATTATCATTCATCGATTAGATGTTTTGTAATGTGATGCGTAGTTTTTGAGATATTTTAGTTGTTCAGCTCTACCCTATGTTCAATTTTTCTTCAATTTTTATTTTATACTTGAGTACAATTGATATTCATGTATTTATTTACGATTTATTTTTTTGTTGAACAATTTTTTTCTGCATTACCATTTGACATTCAAAATGTCAAACATAATTTTAACAACTTGTCAACATAGAAAAAAGTATGTTATTCTTTTAATTCAAAAAAATAATAATATTTTTGGATATTTTAGTCACGTAAAGCTCGGAGTGGTAAATTTTCAATGTTATATTATAATTTTACAATTGTTTTTAAAGTGTTTGGAATAATCAAACATCCATTGAATGTTTTGATGAAAATTTCTTTTTTAAATACGTTTAAACTTTTTTGAACAAACCGCCCTTTAATATTTCGGAGAGTAAGAGGTCAATGACGGTTAAAAATTGCGCAAATATTCTTCCTCTGAAGAACTTTGATGTTTTTGATTCATAATGAGGAATTTTTTTAAAAAAGTTTGTTGTGAAAATACTGATTTATTGTAAAACATGTGATCGTTAAATTTGGAACAATAAAAAATTCAAATGCAAAAACTTCAATAACGGGTGAGGAGAAATTATTAACACAAAACTCAAAGTCTTGTATTTTTAAAGAAATAAAAGCAAAATTTTTTCTCTCTCTTTAGACCCATGAGCACTAGCTAAATCTGGTCAACCTACGAAGTTTTGCTTTTTTTCTGGAGTCCACGATGATAGGCGTGCAGAATTTTTCTAACTTTCAAACACTGTCCTGTAAGGTGTCGATTGATATAATTGAATGCTGTTTTGCGACAGATTCCTTCTTTAACTAAATGGTTTGCAGCTTCAACTTTAGTAGCTTTTGGATTTTTTAAAAAATAATTTTTGACTAATCTTTATCTGTACTTACTGTTTTGCCACTCTTACGCAATTATTCTTTGCAATTTCCAAAAGTTTCTCAATGGGACGGAACTATGGGCAGTTTGGTAGATTACTATTTGGTATGAATTTGATGTCTGTCAAATTGTACCACTCTACGGTCTTCTTAGAATAATGACAAAAAGCAAGATCAGGCCAGAACCAACACGAGACATTGTGACTTCAATAAAATGGCAAAAGTTTAGCTTGCATGCATTCCTTGATGTTAACATCTAAGCTTGCCACAAGAGAAGTTTCTTACCAAATTTATGTAATGATTTATACTTGAACTTGTTGCTGACACGTCTACGAACAATTGAAGTGTAAAATATTGGACTTGTGAGCTGTTTGAAGTCACATTTGATGAACGTTGATGTACGAAATAAAGAAACTTTACAGTTTCATAAGATTTGAAACTGTAAAATTTCTTAACTTTCCTGATAAAAAACTCTAAAACTTTATACCATTTGTCTCGTTCTCTGTTCGATAATTTTGGATTTTGCGCAAATGATCGCTGAATTAATGCTAATAAAATACTAATTGCTGTTTTCTTATCCTTAAAGCCACTTTTTCTTCCAGATCCTTTTACTCGTTCGGGAGCTCTTGTATCATTGACCATATAAACAGTAGTTTTGCTAGATTTAGATGATTTAGTGATTATAAGTAACAATACAAAAGGGTTTTGTAGATAGTTGTGAAGAATTTCTTTTTGTTTTTCTAACTGTTTCGATGACATTTTAATTAAGAGAAATGTTTTGACTCGTTTCTTGATATTTTTAATTAATCGTATCATTACTAAATGTAGTTACGCAAAAAAAAAGAGAAAAAGTTAAATTTGTTAGTGAAAAGTTTTAAAACAAAATTCATCGTTCTGAATTTAACAATTGCATGCTTTATTTTTCAAGAATTCTTTTAATCATTAAATCCTGTACATAAAAGTGTTTTCATTCATCGTTTTTCTACGGAAACGGGAAAGTTTTTCAATCATTTCATTTCATCGTTTTTCAACGGGAACGGCAAAGGGAACGGAAAAATAATCACGTGAGCATGCGCAAATTTCCTTCGGGCAAATAAAAACTTTTATTATGCATGCACACGTGATTATTTTTTTCTATCCTTTCCCTTTCCCGTAGAAAAACGGATGAGTGGAAACTCGCCTTAAATCTTGGTTGACATACCTAACGCAACTTCTATATTTGCGTGGAGTGCTCAACATAGTTAAGGCGAACATAAGTAAAACAATGTAAGTATAAAACTGATGGACTTTCATCAAGTCGCAAACATCAAAGCAACTTTAAGTCGTATTGAGAGTATGCTTGTAACCAATAGCGATTCTACAAATAAATCAAGGGGGTGTAAATCCTCGAAGAGTACCGACTGGTTTCTTAAAAAAAAAAAAAAAAAAAGTCCTCAAAACGAAAATTTAACCGACTGAATTCCCGGTGGGAAATGAGCTAGCGACAAGCTAGCGACAAGCTAGCGACTAGCTAGCTCTATAGCGATTTTCTAGCGATTTTTTTTTTTTCTTATTTAATTTTTTACAAATGTCTTTAACATTTTTAAAAATTCGATTTTTAGTGTTGAGTCTATTATAACTATGAAAATAATTGAACTTTAAACATTGCGATTTTGTAGCAATGTGTCGCTAGCCACATATCGTAGCTTTGTAGCTAGCAACAAAATATCTACAAATCTATACCTGGTTGATAGCTACATATCAAAAATTTTTAGACAACGGTTTTATTACGATATGACGCTAGGTACAATAGCCAGTGGATCTTCAGATTGTTAAGCTAGCGATCCTCGTGGCCAAATCGCTGTCTTTATCGTAACGATTATAGCTAGCTATTCGCTAGCCGACTTCCCACCGGGTTGTAACTTGAAAATCACCTTCTTTGGGGGATGTGGTGTAACATCCCCCTCCTTTCCCCATCAAATCGCCTCTGCTTGTAACGGACAAATAAAAACTAGTTTCACTGGACAAAAAACAACAAAAGTTCACTTAAATGTTTTTTATTAAAACATTTAAAAAAATTATTTAAAGCGACGCTACAAAGTTTTAACCATTAGTTATTGTAATTATTCAACAAAATGTTTACTAAAACTTGGTAGTTTAATAAAACCAATTTTTTAAAAAAGCATGTGTTAGTTTTTTTTCTTGTTTCAAATCATTACACGACATTTGATTAAAACAATTTTTAAAAAATCAAATAAAATGTTTTCTAAATTACTAAAGCCTAAAGTTTCATTTATTGTATATCATAATTCCATTCATGCCTGTAATACTCCCTTCATTTAATGTAAAGTTTAAGAAAAAGTTGTTATTTGCCGTTTCGCTATCGCCATTTTAAATGTTTATACTTGAATATTGTTGGCCAAACCGTAAAAATACTGTTTTTAAAGTATCATCATAGTTATAAAAAAAGATTCTTATGACTATGGTATCATGAACGTACCTATTTGCATCAACGTATTATGATTAAGCGTTTAAGTACAGTTTTGATAACGTTTTCTTTTTGTTTACGAAAAAAAAGGTTACAAGCATAGCCATGAAGCATTTCAATACGGTTGAACTTCTATCTGCTTTATACTTCCATGGTAAAACTTAAATCGAAAATGTTTATAAAAACCTCATCTTTGACAATTTATAACTTAGGTTTTAAATGAAATTAGATAAATTAAAAATTCCTTTTTTTTTAATACCACTAATTTTTCTTTTGTTTTAAAAAATTTTTTTTTTTTTTTTTTTGTTTGTTTATACTTATTTAAGGACTTTTATAAAGTCTCTTTTTGAACATTTTTAGGATTTTGCTCGGTTTCTATCGAAATGTTTTAAACATTCCTTTATTTAGACGTGATTATAGATTAAAAGAGCTAGAGCTTTCATGTTTTTTTCACTCAAAGTTATAATGTTGTTTGACCCCATTCTCAAAATATTTTTCAGGTCCTGGGGCGACCCCCATTAATTTAAATAAGAAATAGTTTAAAATAAACAGCTATATCACATTATTAATTAAGATATGGTTAAAAGCATAAAAAAGTTATATTTATATTTTAAATATATATATTTCATAGAAATAAAATTAAATTATTTCAAAATTTGGTAAAAAATTAATAATAATGAGATTTGTTCATTTTTATTCTAAACACTGACCAGAACACTCGCATAGCTCTGTTTGCATTTTCCAGGGCCTACGAAATTGTTTGCGAATTGGAGGAGCACAACCGTCAATTTCTAAAAAATGTTTTTATATCAAGAAATTTCTAAAAAAAATTAAAAGTAAAATTTATTGTGGTACCAAGGATTGTCCCCAATGATACTATATAAATAGTTATATGTAAATACCATTTTTAAATATTTGATTCAAAAATATTTTTTAATAGGTTAATAAGTTCATTCAAGTATTTAAAAAAAAAAATTAACCTTTCATGAAACACAGCTATTTTCAAATGCTGAAAGAGTGCATCTTTTGTAGGAGGTAACCCCACACGCTGCCGTGACTTTTTAGTAAACAGGTTTCTTAAGCATATAACAAGGTCAGTAGTGAAACTTGTTTTATCATAAAGTAGAATTACGTAGCAGTTAAATTATTCTGCATCAGGTGAATTTACTCTTGTCAGTGCTCTCATTATTTCTTCATTTCCATTGTTCCAGAGACTCCATGCAAGTTTTTTACCTCGTTCTGCAAATGAAGATAGGATGACAGCCAGTGAATGCAAACCACAATGAAACAGCCTCAACTTTTTCACTTATCTTTTGTGGGTAATAGTGAATTAGAAACCAAAACTCCAAGTACTATCCAGTTAATTGTTTAAAAACGGAAATTGAGATTTCAAAAACATCTGTGTTAACTGTTTAAACACAGAAAACTTGATTCCTACTGTCAACTGTGTTTTTAACATGTAGCAAAATTTTAGTTTCAGCATTCTCGTGGTTATATGGTGAGAAATTGGACAAATCAGTTTCATCTAACGTTGTTATTAACAGCGAGTCAAAGGTTCTTGAACAAAGTTTATTGCAAGTATTTTAGACAACTCATTTTGTTTACAGCCAATAGTAAGAATCATGACCAGTTTTTCCAAACACAAGTTAAATCAGAAACACATACTCTCACACCATTCCCACGAATCTCCCTGGTCTGAGTTTTTAAACTAAAACACTATGTCAATCCTTTTTATTTCTTTATGTTTTGTTGATACTCATTATCAGAGTACTCCTTGAAAGTCTTTGAATTTATTGGATGAAATATATAAATAATTGCTCCTCGATCTAACATCTCTGCAAAAATAACTTCAGAAGAAATCAAAGTAGGTGCCGAATACTCTTCGAAGCATTTAAGGTACTCCGATTTACTGGTTTTTTTGAGTTTACCGAATTCAGATATTGCAGATGGATAAGCATGATTTTTATGTCGAAATAATCATTTGTTTTATAAACTAAGTTTCAGTTGTTAAACTATTTTAAATATACCATCTGGATGATTCAACACCCGTTTGCATAACTTTTTTGGCGAATGTCCTACCTTTTGCGTCAAGCAATACCTTTGTTGATAAATGAATGAGAATATCTTCTTCTACTTAAAATGGATTTCCAAAACCTTTTATAACTTCAATAAAATCTGGTAATTGTCATTAAAATTTTTTTTCAAAGACAGGTCTTCGTAATGTTTTTTTTCATTATCTTTTTCTCCAGATTCCTTTAGAAGTTCAGCAAGTAGTGGCTCATACACCATAGACTTTATCAATGCACTTAGGCTATCTAAAACCTCAGTTGAATCGCCATCTTTTTTTATGATTTTGATGTTTTATTCATATGCCTAATCTACAGCCATAAATGAAAAAGGGCGTCTTTTATTTGTTATGCGACAAAAAAACCTTTGTAGACTGGGTGTAAACCTCATGGTTTTTATGAGGAAACATATTCATTACAACAAGAAAAATTGGAAGCTGTCAAAAATAGTGTATGTGTGTGTGAATTAAAGCAAACATTCAAAAAACAATATTTCCCTAGGCACTGACAAAAGTATTAAAATTTCCTATTCTGAAACTCTTAACAAGCAACACGATTGTTGATGGATCTACAAGTCACAGGGAGTCGTAAATAGTTTTTAGAATACTTTAGCCAATAGTAGGTATAAACCAGCTTATATGAAACTTGTGTCGCATACCTTGAGCATTTTACCTTTTGACCAGTCAGTATAGATTAAGCTCATCCAGAATTTTCTATACCAGCTTTAGTTATGGCATCAACGTAACTACTATTAAAATTTTATCTTTAAAAAATAAAATTTTTGCTTTAAAAATTAACAAAATAAAAAATATATAAAAAGGAAATTCATTGGTAAATTATAATAACTCCGGAAAACCTGAAAAAATAACACGTTTTTTATACATTAATGAAAGTTACTTTTCATGAGGTATACTAACTTATTAACAAATTTACTAACTTATTAACAAATAACAAGCGAATCATTTTTTTTTTGTTTACATACACTGTTTACACTTACCTAAAAAAATTACTTATAATTGTTTTTTTTATAAAACGTTTACAGACAACCACATGCATTGTTTACGCTTTTATTTAAAGCTGATTTTACTTTTTTGACTTTTTTTTTTTACTTCAATTGTTAAATGACTTATAGTATGTATAAAATGGCTCAAAAAAACTTCCGAAAAGCCGTTAAGTTAGCTCAAAATAATAAACTCTACAAGCAATACATTGAAATCAAAAAGCTAAAAAATATTAAATTAAAAAACTTTTGGAATGCATTTAGAAGTATAAAAAAAGATACAAACTCACGATTATTTACAATAAACAATAAAAAGGATAACAAAACTATCACCAGAGAATTTGCAAATATGTTTGAAAAGTTGTTAAACACTTTTCGAATAACCCAAAGCTATAAAACTTGAAAAATCTTATCGTGCACAAAGCATGGTAATGTAATAATAACCGAACAAAATATTGAAGTAGCTATTTCAGCCTTAAAATCAAACAAGTCTAGCGACTCATTTGGTATCTCAGCTGAACATTTAAAACACGCAAATTGTAACGAATTGACACAATGGCACACAATGGCTAATAAATTTTTTTAATTTCTCAATCAATTATGGCTGGACTCCGAAATCAATGTCTTCATCTATCCTTATACCACAATCATATAAAAAGTCCTTGGTAAACCCAAACAACTATTGAGGTATTAGTATAATACCTATTTTTACAAAAATTCTAAAATATCTGATTTTAATAATATGTCCGGAGATCAAGAACACTCATCCGGAGATCAAGAACACTCATCCGGAGATCAAGAACACTCACCCGGAGATCAAGAACACTCACCCAAAGATCAAAAACACTCACCCGGAGATCAAGAACACTCACCCGAAGATCAAGAACACTCACCCGCTACAATTTGGATTTAAATCTAACTTTTCATGCAGAATTTGTAATTAGTGAAACTATTAAACATTACAATAGTAAAAACTCACCTGTTTATTTCCTTGGATGCGGAAAAGACCTTTGATAGCTGTAACTGGGAAATTCTCTTTGCTAAGTTGTACTTCGATAAAAAACAACCTTTGCATATAGTTATGACAATCTTTTCAATATACTATAATAGCAGTGAAATTGTCTCAGACCAAGGTTGCAAATAAAATGAATTTTATCTTAAACAAGGAGTAAGACAAGGTTCAATTCTTTTACCGCACCTTTATAATATTTATACCCAGGACCTTCTCAAAACCATAAAAAATGAAAGTAATATAGGTACGTCTATATATGGTAACTTTACTGGTGTGGTAACGTATGCTGATGATATTATACTTTTAAGCTCAACTTTTTGGTCTGGAAAAATTAATTAAAACTTGTAATGTATACTGCAATTTAAATTGCATAAAATTAAACCCTGATAAAACAAAGTTCTTTCTGACAGGTAAAAAACAGTTACAAAGTTGCTTAATATCTCTCGATGGGAATCAAACAAATTTACACAATAGATTAAAACACTTAGGGTTTACATGGGATACGAGCACTCTACATTTGCTTCACTTGATCGGGTAAGCATTGCTGAAAAAATATCTAATTTTAGGGCAGCTGTCCAAACTCTTACTCAATCTAGAATCCGTTTTGCTCATCCAAAATCCATCACACAATTATATTAAACCTTGATAGTACCAACATTAACTTACAGTCTGGAACTTTGTAAAACCAATGACGTAACAATGCAAAACCTAGACAGAATCGGAAGAAGCGCATTAAAATTGTTTTTCATCTTTTCAAAACATTGCAAAAATTATTTACACCCGTTATTTAAAATTCAAGACATATCAAAATGTATTTACCAAAATAAACTGAACTTATTTATTCGTCTTTTGGATAACAAATCGACGAATGATATTATTTAATCTTAGCATAAAAATCCTATGGTAAAACAATCTTTTGTAGATGATATCCAGCAGACTTGCCATGTTAGGAAACTCTAGAAGTAAACATTCTAAAATGATTTCTTTTCTTCCTTTCAAAGTTTAAACATTTGTTTTTGTATGCACTTTTACCTTGTAAAAATATTTTACAGTAGGTGATTAAGAAAATAATAATAATAAAGTTTGCTATATATACCTTAGAATAAAGTTTGCAATATAAACCTTAGAATAAAGCTTGCAACGTAAGGCTTACAACAAAGTTTGCAATGTAAACCTTACAATTAAGTTTATGATTTAAACCTTACTATAAAGCTTGCAATGTAAACCTTATAACAGAATTTAATTTTAGAACTTATCTTGTTAAAGTTTAATACACAGAAAGTGTTGCACCGTTTGATTTGCAGTCAATGTCATTCCCATTGAAATCATCAGACTCAAGATTAAACAAGAGCAGGTTTATCACTGAACTTCTACCATTGATTCTTTACAGAAAATAAAATTTGTACAATTTTTCTGTATCTCAACGCGTGCATATTAAAGCGGCTTGTTTCATCTGTTCAGGAACATCACAGCGATTATATGTCAGTATTTTGACTAAATTTAGCCTCATCACAATATTCTACTCAGTCAAAAATCTTTTGGAAAAAGGTACAAAAAATACCAATCGCAACAAAATACATTAACCCAGCAATCGTGCTGTGACAAGCTTTCTATTAAAAAATAAAAGTGTACATTGATGGCTGAACTGTTTATTAAAGTTCAGATAAACAAATTAAATATAAAAACTATTTATTTAGAAAAAAATCTTGACGAAATAATCAGCAAAAAAAAATTAATAAGGAAAAAACCTTGTGATGAACCTTGTTATGGCAAAAATGCAGTAAAAACTTTTAAAAGCAACCTAAAATCAGCAGCCAAGTAATTATCAAAAGAGCGCATAGAGAGACAAAAAAAAAGTCTAACAAAATACCTAGAACTTAAGGTCACATCCCGTTTTTTTTACGGAACGGGAAAAGGAAGGGAAAAATAATCACATGAGTATGCGTAATTTTGTTTCGGACAAATTAAATTTTATACTAGGCATGCTCACGTAATTGTTTTTCCTATCTTATTCCCGTAAAAAAAGAGATGAGTGGAAACTAAATAGCTCCTTTTATGACAAGAATAAAATTTTTGCAAGGGAGAAACAAAGTGCGAGAGCGAGACGATGGAGAATTTGAGCTAAAAACTATCGAGAATCGCAAAAATATTACGAAAAGAAATTAAAAAACTACGGTGTGAAAGTGAGAATGGTGATATTAAATATAAATTATGAGAATAATATAAACCTTAAACTGTTGATAACTCTAAAATACACTTATTCTTGACACGATTTTCGCGTTTGCGGATTTTTCAAAAATGAAAATAAAATTAGAATTTCTTACGTGATTATTCGAAGCTTTATTTACATTACGAAAAAAATATTTTTTCCTTATTAAAAGAAGCAAAAAAAAATCGTTTTAATGGTTTAACGTTGTGGTGAAAAATTAAACAAAACCTTTTAATCTCAAACGATTTAAATACTTCAAATTTTTAGACTTCTCATATTATATTAATTTCGCCAAAAAGACAAATTAAAGGGGTGGAGAAATTATTGTTAATGCAAAGGAAAATATTGAACATTAGGTTAGAAATGGAAAGATAACAGATTTTAATCTCCTTCTTTTAAAAGGGGTTTAAACTTTATATGTTTATAATATCCGTATACTGAGTGGTTTTTATAAGATCAAATTTAAAAACAGTTGATAAATATATATTTAGTATATGTGTATGAAAACTGTTTTAATGCATTGTACAAGTTTTCATAACATTTTAAAACGTTTTATAACATTACACTAATTTACACACTAATTTATTAACAAGAAAATATGTTATAGGGTATCATTTATAAGTTACATAGTTAGTGACCTTAAATGATTAATGACCTTTAATAAATCTTAGTGATAATATCAACTTTTAATAATGTTTAGGAATCACAACAGTTTTTTTGGTGCTTTGATCCTTGAACTTTCAGGCATCAAATGAGAATACTTTGCAAAAAAGTTGCTGTGATTTGTGCTTTGAAACTAAGACACCCCAAAACTTGTGGCCTAAAGAATATTGTTTTCCATGGATTTCATACATGATGGATGCAAAAAGGCAGAGGAAATTTTTTTCTTGAGAGTGCCAATAGCTGTTATATTCAAACTTTATGCGATGAGTGCAGTGCAAGGGAAGTGTTAATACTTTTTTTTACAACAGTAATTGTTGGCGTATGTACAATTGCTTTTATCAGTGTAAAGTGAAACTGGGTTCACTCTCAAACATCTCACTAGTTATTTTAAATGTCCAACAACTTTTAAAAGTTTTAAAACTTTAAAACTTTTAGAATATACCAAATTGTAACCAGTTCCTCGCCTTTAACACACGTTTTTTGTGAGGCAGTCTTTTAATATCTTTACTTAATCGTTATTCAACTTTTTAGTTAGCTTTTATTTGTTATACATAATAGCAAACTATTATTACTAATTTTTTAACAATATATTCAAAGTAAGCAATTTTTATTTTTAAATTTTGAGTACGTCCAACGACGTAAAAGACATTTTTATCTTTTCAGTTCTCAAAAATCCTTTTAATTAAATTTATTATTACTATTATTAATTTAAAATGGAAAAAAAAAGAGAGAGAAAACAAACAGGAGAGAGAAAACAAACAGGAGAGAGAAAACAAACAGGAATAAAGCTGAATGCAAAACAGAAATTTGATTGTCACCTCTCGACATTCTTGATAGATTTTTTAATAATCATCAAGTGCTTTTGACAAAAATCTGCGATTTTTTGTTTTTCTATTTAATGTTTGTCAACTTTCTTAGGAAGAAAGCGGCATTCTTAGGAATTTTTTACTTCTGAAACATTTTATTTGCTTTTGTTGGTTTCATTTGATTACTTTTCTCAAGAAAAGATTTTCATTTAGAAAGCTAATTTATTTCATTTAGATGTAGATATTTGATTTTATTGACTACATGCATACGAATAACATTGACTATATAGTTTATATAAACGTTATTGTACATTATCATATATAACCACATTTGTACCGACATATAAAAGACCTTTACACACTCGTTTTAAACAAAAAACATAAGAAAAGTCTGAAAAAAGACTTAAAAATGAAAGTATTAATATTTTTAATATAAATGAGCAAGGGATCCAGTATTTTTTTTTGATATTTAAGTAACTTTCAAATGCACACTAAAAAAAAGGTAAAAATTTCTACCTTAGGGAAGGATATGTGATATACCCTTAGTAAGGTATAATTTTCTACCTTTTCTAAAGGTAGAAAATTATAATAAAAATAGTTATTTGCCATAGAATTTTATACCTTACTAAGGGTATGTCACATATCCTACCTTAAGAAGAAATTTCTACCTTTTTTTTTAAGTGTGTAAGTTCTTAATTCTAATCCTTCGCATATTCATATTAATGTCATAGAGAAGTGTTTTGGCAAATATTGCGTTAATTAGAGTCTCAAAACAAAATTTGTTGGAAATCTGCCCCCCCCCTCCCATAAAAAAAAATTGTTTCCTTAAGTAAGACTTAAATTTATATATATATATATATATATATATATATATATATATATATATATATATATATATATATATATATATATATATATATATATATATATATATATATATATATATATATATATATATATATATATATATATATATATATATATATGTATATATATATATATATATATATATATATATATATATATATATATATATATATATATATATATATATATATATATATATATATATATATGTATATATATATATATATATATATATGTATATATATATATATATATATATATATATATATATATATATATATATATATATATATATATGTATATATATATATATATATATATATATATATATATATATATATATATATATATATATATATATATATATATATATATATATATATATATATATTACGCTTATGTGTATGACAAAAACATTCTTTAAAAAAAAAAAAAATAACTGTGATAGTAGAATGGGAATTAGAAACCCTAAAATCTTAGCCCCCTTCCCTGCCCCAAATGTGAGAGCAACAAGTTTTTTCAGCTAGACTTTTTATAAGGGTAAATTTACATGGGTATATTTTCTAAACATGATTATATATTTTTAAGAAAATTTAAATCCTTGAATAAATTTTCATCAAGTCTGAGATAAAATTTATTTTTTTAATAAGTAATTTCCCTCACATTTTGGCGGGTAGTGTCTAAATTTAGGGTATTTTTGTTCTATTTTGTTCACTTTCTGAAAAGTACTCGTTTTGAACAAAAAGTATAAGAACAAAATAAAAACCTTAAAAAAAAAATTTGAAAGTAAAGAAAGTAATATTTTTTTAAGTACTTTTAACATAGAATTAGTTCAAAAAGCTTCATATCTTCATTCAATGGATAAATGATGCAACATATTGCATGCATATTGCATGAAAAAAAATAATTTGTACCTTAGCGGAGTTTAGAAAGTTTTGAGATGAAAAAGTGGCAATATTGATCATTACTCAGCAAAATGACTCTTCTAAAATGGGCAGTCGTCTCTTACCTTTATAAATAATTCGGCGCTATTTAAAGCTGCAGTAAAATTTGTTAAAAAAGATAAATGGATGCTTTCAAAACGTTTTAAAATTATTTATATTGAAACGTTATTATGTAAACATCCAGTTTAAGAGTTTAAAAGAATGGGATTAGCAGTTTGAAAATTTGAGATTAGGTAAAACATTTTAAATAAATAAGTATTAACACAATAGTAAATAAATAGATATATAATAACATATTAAACACAAATTTAAATAACTATAAAATAATAAATATAATAAAAGTCAGGTCAAAAACTATTTTAAGTTAATAATTTTCAATAACGAAGTTTTCTTTTTAAAAACACCGGCAAAAAATTTCTTTAACAAAAGCCTTATTATTTATATTTGGTTAAGTTATTAAGAATAAATTGGTCACGCCTAAATGACCTTTAAAATGCTATTCTATCTCGTCTGAAGTTCACCGCGTATGCTCTTATTCAAAACCTCAAAACTGCTAACAAGTTGTCATTCATTGAGAAAATTATGATTATAAGTACCTTAAGAATTTTGTCTTCTTATTTGATTCTTTTCAAAAAAACGCACTTCCTCTTCCCTTTATTTGTAGCTATCATAAAGTTCTGAAATGATGTCTTGATAACTCAATCTTATAATTTAGGGGTTAACCACAAAATTTTGTATTTTCTCATGAACTAAAACAAGTAAACTTGGTCCACGGTTCAACCACGGTTCACTGTTAAGTAAACCATTTGAATACAAGTGAGGCATTTGTGTGCAAAGGATTTCGTTGCAAAACAAAGCATTTAGTTTCAGTAAAGTGTTTTACTGTTTTTCGCTGTTAAACCGCTTCATAAACTAGGGTTTTAAGCAGAAATAGGAGATCTTTGAGTATCAACATTTTTTACAGCGATGACTTCTCTTTTGAGTTATAAATTCTTTGCAAAGTTACAATTTTTAACTTTTGCGAATCAGATCTTAAAATATTAAAACAAGTTTTAAAAATCTTAAAAACAAAATCTTTGTAATTAAAACGATATCTCCTCTCCAAACAAAACGTCATTAAATACACAACAAAAAATGCTTTTAAAACAGATATCTACGCACAATTAAACGAAATATAAACGTTTGCCTAATATAAGAAATACTAAAGAATGTAAAGTGCAACCGCAAGTTTGTCAACGCAAATGAAATTGCGCGAAATCAGCAATTAAGGTGTTTTTTTTTTAACCACAACTTTGTTTATTTGGAATTTTAAAATAATAATTGGTCCACGTCATAAGGATATTTTTGATGTTGTTTTTATCTTTAGTTTGATTACGTCTTTTCTTATTCTCGAAATGAGTATTTGTTGGTTTTTAAATGAATTTTAAATTTTTATAAAAAAAAAAAAGTTTTAGAGAACAAGTCTTCATTATTTGTAGAGTGTGAAGAATAATACTTAAAAAATGTAAAATTCGAGCATGTGAGGGATAAAATTTTGATTGACGTACCTCTATTATTCTTTTAACAATTGGTTTTTGTCTCGTTTTAGGAATATGTTATAACAACGAAAAAGTACACATTTTTAAAATGATTTTAATTTTCTGAACAATATTGTTTTATTTGGATTCAAACAGTTGTAAGAAGAGGAACACGATTAACATTTTGTAAAACACTAACAACTGAGTAAGTGTTTAAAATTGTTAAAGTATTTTTAACTGGTGTAAATATATTCGGAACAAAAACATTTTACCGGACGTCAACCGCAATATTGCACACTTGAAAAGATTATGAATTAATATATAGACATTAAAAAACACATTACTGCTTTATACTTTAAAATAGAATAAAAAAACACTAATATTTGGTTATTGAATAATTAACACTGATTAATAAAAAATAACTACAGTTGAAACTGCGAATACATTTAGTACATTGAAATCGTCTTTTCATTTAATTATATGGTGAATGCTCAATTGATAAAAGCCAAAAGAGAAACATTTCTACAAGACAAAATTTTTGCTTTAATGCGGTTTTACGAACTGACATTCGCTTGTTTGCGTAGTTAAATTGATTTTTAACAGTGTTTTAAGAACGTCTGCTTCCCGGTGTGTTTATAATAGCAGCGGTTATCTTGCAAGGAAATTCATTATTTTATAATGTCAACAATGACATTAACTCAACTGGACCCTCATGTTGGACCTATGAGAGGAATTAATCGTTTTAAACCAGATAAAGCGACTATTATAAATCCAGAGACACCACAGGAGGGCGGCGGAGAGCTTGTAAAAACAGATTCCCCAAACTTTGTTTGTAGTGCGTTGCCTTCTCATTGGAGATGCAATAAAACTTTACCAATGGCGTTTAAAGTAATAGCATTGAGTGGAGATATACCTGACGGAGTTACTGTTACAATATTTGCTGGCAATGATGACAATTTTTCAGCTGAACTTAGAAATGCAACCGCCGTTATGAAGAATCAAGTTGCAAGATTTAACGATCTTCGATTTGTTGGAAGATCGGGTAGAGGTAAAATATTTAAATATTTTTTATTTAATAACTGAGTAATTTCTCTCATTAACAGAGAGAAAAAAAATTGTATCAAAATAAATTAGCTAAATTGACAACATATTTATCTGTGATTTTTAAAACAACTTAAAACATTCAATATTGATTGTCGATTGTTTTTTTAAAATATTGCAACGGGAATTTATTTTATTAAAAAGAAACTAAGATCGCTAAATCATTAACATTATTGAATAATCGTGAAGTTTATTTACGCATTTAATGTTTAAATTTTTTTTTTAAAGTTTATATTTAATTAGTTTATATTGAAAAATGTTTAAAAAATAATGGAAAATTTTTTTTTCGTAAATTTTATGTAGGAAAGACATTCACATTGACAATAACAGTCAATTCGGAACCTCCTCAAGTCGCAACATATACAAGAGCAATAAAAGTTACTGTTGACGGACCAAGAGAGCCTCGAAGTATGTTTGTTTACTTTTTTCACGTGTGAATTTCATATCTATTAATATGTATCATTATAGCTTGTTAAAAATATTCTCTTAAATGTGCAAACAAACTTAATTATTAGGTTTTTTTAAAGTAATGACAATAATAAGGTTTTTTTAATGAAAAAAAAAAAAAAGATTTTTAAAAATAGATTAAAAAAACAAATACATAACACTAATGAATGTAGTTAAAAAAAAAATTATTTCCAATTGGAAATTCCAAATATTAAAAAGTTAAAAAAAAAAAAGAAGAATTTTATCTCCGGTGAAAAAAAAAAAAAAGAGTTTTAAATGTAAAATGCGGTAGGATTGTTTTAAACTCTCGTGAATTTCAAGACAAAAATAAAACAAATCTTTTTGGCAAAGAAATTAAAAATTTTTCTAGATATTTCAACTTTAAAAAACTTTTTATATTGTATATAAATGTTTCTTTTTTTTTTCTAAACATTTTTTATAAAGGAAAACTTAAACAATATAAGCAATTATAAACGTTTTTTTAAGCAAGTAGTTAAAGTTTATGTTGACAGCATTACTGGTACTAAAATTATAAACTGTTTTTACAAATACATAACTGTTGCATCTTTAGTCAAAAAAAAAATAGTTTTTTAAGAATAAATTTTTTAAGCGAAACGTCAAAATATTAGTTTAACTTTTGACAAAAAAAAATTTTATGTCCTAATTGTTATAAAATTTGTTTTAGAATAAAATTTCTAAATTTAGGAAATGACGGTAAAAAAAATTATTTATAAAAAACACTAGTCAAATGTATAATTAATTGAAATTAACGTATAATTAAATTTTAAAGTTTTATATTATACATTTTCAAAAATTCTAACGTATAATTAACTTTAAAATGTCGTGTAATTGTTTATGATTACTAACTACGTTCGTACGAATCAGCTTTTTTACGTCGTAAACATTTTTTGGAGCAGTTTATTTTGGCAAAGATATTTTTAAGTACCCCCAATTGTTTAACGAAGTATTAAGCACATTGTAATAAGACACTACTTCGTCTAAGTTCCTTTCGCAAAAATCGAATTTGATTTTTTTTATGAAATTTCCTTTTTATTCTTTCATCTTTTGTATATTGTATTTTGAATTTTGTTGCTCTATAATATTCTCCATTTTTTTAGGACACAGAGTTAGAGATGGGGAGGGTGGGTTTCTTGATCACTACAGCTTTGTATCGCGAGTAGGAGAAATGGGAGTAGATAATTTTCGACAATTTTCATATATTCATGGATCACCAATTGCAACAAATAGTTTGTCTCATATGCAGCCTGGTAAGTAATTTGACATAAAAAGAAAAATTTAAACAAATATTTTTCTAAAAAGATCTCCAAAAACACGAAAATGTTATAATAGGCGATATCCTTTGTTTGCTAAAACTTATTTCCTCTCGGATTTAAAACACGATAACGAAAAAAAATTGTAAAGATGGCAAGATAAAAAGCGGTTCTTTTGACATCTTTTGTTATTTTACTTTATCTATGATTTTTTTGTTATAAACATTTGTTTTTGTTTTATTTGTAACTTTTACTTTTGTTCTTTTTTCATAAGTTTTTCTTCGGTTATTCTTTACTTTTCTTGACCTCAACCTCATCTTTGTTAATTTTATTTTTTTGTTTTTGTTTTAATTTACTTTTATTTTTTTAAGTCTATATTTTTACTTTTTTAACTCCTGTTTTTAATCATGCATTTTAATCCTACTTTTATAAACTTTTGTCTCTAATCATTTTTAACTTTTTTTTTTCTAATCTTGCTTTTCATTTTCTTTTTTTTTTAAATTTAAAAACCCTAAAACTTTTTTTATTTGCTAGATGTTTTGATTCGCTCTCCGCCAGCATGGCAACATAACTTCAATGGAAACGTATATGGACATAACATATCACCTAATAGTAACGAATCTTATTCAAATATAATGGATCATGATGGGTACCAACAGCCTAACTTAGCATTGAACTTAAAATTAGGAAATAATGACTTATCCTTGCAGGAAAGTTTTCAAAATGATGTTAGATGTTACAACCAACTTTCTCAAAACAGATCTTCGTCAATTAACTCGAACGAGCCTAGTTCGCCAAGTAGTCTCCAAAGCTTTCAATATAGTAACAATAGTTCTTTACATTCGTTTCAAGGAGCACATTTTCCAACACCAAACCACACTCATGACCAGGTATCAAACAGTTTTCTCAACAACGTTACAATAAACAATAACTATCTTATGAATCTTGCACCAAGTGGAGGTAGTATAAACATTCCTTTTAAATCTTATAGCAGTCAAAATATTTCAAGAGCTCAGGAAGATATAAACAATAATCAACTCGGACATTTTTACAGATCACCATTTTATGAGACGCACGGCTACGCTTTCCAAAATAATATTAAAGCCTATACTTCTCAAATAAATGGCGGAGATGACGACGGTAATTCAACTCCGAAAGTTTGGCGACCATATTAAAAGTTCTCTGTAGTCTTACTATTTTACATTTCTTTCCTTGAAAATTTTTATTTTGTGATATACTTCTTAAATTTTAATTTTTAAATTATTTCATCCGTTATTTATAAGGCATTTTTTATAAAGGTATTTATGGCATTAAAAAGTTATTTGTCTTTATTTTTATTATTGTTATTTATGTCATTAAAAACTTATCTGCTTTTATTTTTGACGAGTGTGCAAATATTTTGACTTGATGCCTGAATAATATTTTACTTAATTAATGCTTGCAACATTCAGTTCAGAATTATTTAGAATATTTTTAAAATAGTTTATTTTTAAAAAAAAAAAAGTTTTTTTTTTCAAGTTTTTAAAACAAATGATTCAACGAAATTCTTTTTATTTCTCTCTTTCTGAGAAAATATTGCTTTGTTTAATATATATATATATATATATATATATATATATATATATATATATATATATATATATATATATATATATATATATATATATATATATATATATATATATATATATATATATATATATATATATATATATATATATATATATATTCTTATTCTTTGCAATCGTTTTTTTTTTCTTTCAATAGTATTTTTAATAAACAAAAAAACATCATGTTCTAACATTTAAAATTTCTTTGTTCTGTTTACAGTTTTAGATCAAATTTTAGTAGCAAAAATAGTCTTAAAAAATCAAAAAATTTTAATAAAGGATGCGTATGTGTGATTAAGTTTTAGTTTCATTATCATAGTAGTAGAATTTATGTTTTTTCAACTTTAAACAACCTTTTTTAATACAGAAGATTAAATAAACTTTTTTCCCTTTATTACTACTCATCTTAATTAGTGGTTTTTTTCGAAATGAGAGTAAGTTTTAAATATTGCACTCGTGATTTTTTGTGATTTGTGCGCAAAATTGAATCGTAATATAAATATTTAAAAACAAATCTTGCATAATAAAGGTTAAACGCAATGAGTTGAATAGTTGCATACCTGAATATATAGAAAAAAAAGATTAACACAATAAGGTAGTGCTTTTTGTTTGGACAGGCATTCAATTAAAATATTTTTTAAGTTTTTGAATTTTTTTCGGTTTTTTAATTTGCATTTTAATAATAATAAAACTAAGTTATGAGCTAATAATATATTAGCTCATAACTTAGAAGTTCATACATAATTTTTTCATATATAATTTTTCCCTTTTTTTTAATACTCTCCTTAAAGTTAAGAAATGATAAGTCTTTGTTATTATCTTTTTTTTAATATTAGTTTTTACAAAGACAATTACAATATCAAGTCCTAAGGTAGCAAATCCAATACTAAGGTATCAAAACTAAAGCGAAGGATGTCAAAAAATATCTGTAAGAACCAAGTACGCGGACCATATCCACAGCAGTTTTGACACCATCCATAGCTCACTATATAAAAAGAATTATAATTAAAAACAACTGTATTATCACTCTATAAAGTCTGTTGATATTTAAGTCTGTTGATATTTAATTAATTTTACTCCTGTCATTTTTACTCTCTTACTTTGTTTCTCAGTTATTTAAATTTAACACTAATTAACTGAATTGTCTTTTCGTGAGGTTAGAATTATTATGTTCTATCTCCACTTTTTGAAAAATATGAGTTATTGATTGCGTTATTACCTTAAATAATATTTTAAAACATTAATTTGAGGTTGTTTTTAAAACATTAATTTGAAGCAAATTTGCTAATGTATTGAAATCTAAATTATAATTTTAAAAAAAATGCGAAAACATAGGAAATAAAAATCTTTTTATCGTCTCCAAAAGTTTTTATTTTATAAATCGTTTTATCTCAAAACTCAACAAAATTTTATATTATTAATAAAATATAAAAAAATAAAACAATCAATTTTATATGACCAACAGTCGCGATCAAAAGTTTGGAACATTTTAAAAATTTGCAGAAAATTTGAAATACTTGTTAAAAACCTTTTTTTTTAATTGAAAATTTTGAGTATTAGTATTATATACATGCGTAATTTATGTTATAAGCCACTAAAAATTTGTTTTAGTCATAGTTTGTTGTTATTTTAGAAAAAAATTAAAATAATAATTATGGGAAGAACTAATGAATTAACAATCGAAAAACGTGCTCAGATTGTTATTCTACGTGAACAAGGATTGACACTGACTTCTATTGCTTCACGTTTTAATGTAACCCATAGCTGTATCATAAAAACATTGAAGCGATATCATGACACTGGTAATTTTAAAAGTAAAGCTAGAGCTGGACGACCAAAGGTGACTACTCAAAGGGCAGATAATCGCATTCATCGTTATGCAAAAGCATATCCGTTTGCCAGTGCTTCTGAAATTTCATCTTAGGTATTCCCCACTGGTGTTGCACCAAGTGTTGTGACCATTAGAAGACGTTTGTGCAAACAATTTCATTTAACGAGCCATGTTCCAGCAAAAAAAACTTGCCTTTCTCCAAAAAATATTAGAGATCGTATTGCCTTCTGTCAGAAATACAAGAACTGGTCAGCGGAAGATTGGGAGGATGTAATATTTAGCGACGAATCATTAATCGAACAATTTGGTTGTCGTTCTACAAGCGTTAGACGCCCGCCTTGCCAACGATACAACCCCAAATATTTGCTTTCAACTGTAAAACATTGCCCTAAAATCATGATATGGGGTGCCATTACAGCCAATCAAAGTGGTGGTTTATGGTTTATGCTTCCTAACACCACAATAAATGGCCATATTTATCTTGAAATACTTCAAGAAAAACTTAAAATATTCATGAACATCACAAATACCCATAAGTTTCAGCATGACGGAGCACCCTGTCACAGGGCCAAGCTTGTAAGCAGTTGGTTACTTGAGAATGGAGTTGAAGTCTTTGGCCCCTGGCCTGGTAATTCACCGGACCTCAATCCCATTGAAAACTGCTGGAACCATCTTAAAAACGAAGTCCAGAAACTTAGACCATCATCTTCCGATGATCTACAAGAAAAAATTAGACAGGTATGGACTCAATTAATGACTCCTGAATATTTGAGAAAACTCGTTCACTCTATGCCTACCCGGCTAGCTAATTGTTTGAAAGCTCAAGGACACCATACCAAGTATTAAATTCAAGTATTAAACTCATAAAACATTTATTAGTATTTCAAAGTTATTATATTCGGAAATTTTCATGGTTACTAATATAGTTTGATAAAATAACTGAATAATTTAATAAAAATTGTGTTTTTTATACAATGTTCCAAACTTTTGATCGCGACTGTATTACTGTCTATAGTTTGGCAACGTGTATGTAAAGAATGGGCAGCACACTGTGAAAATGGTGGAATGGTGTACTATGAAAATACTAATGTAGGCTTGAAGATAAAAAGTCACTTAGGTAAGCTTTGAGTTCTCGTTTTCAAATTCTTTTCCACGTAGATTGTTGTTCAACAAACAAAACAAGTAATAATAAGTCAGGGGAATACGGTGGGTGAAGTAATATCTCCCAGATAAATTTTAACAATCTTTGCTTACTTAATTTTGCGACATGTAATGAGATTTGTCATGTAACAAACAAATTTTGCTTTGTTCTTGACAATGAGCTGAGAGTTTTTGCTTAACTTTATAGTTGAGCACAATAGACCTCAGCAGTGACAGTTGTATTGGTTAGAAGTAACTTCCAATACGCAATACAATTTATGCCCCAGCACCTGGAAGCAGTTTACTTTTAAATAAAGTTCAATTTTCGGAATCGGTATTTTTTTAAGAACCCATTTTTTAAAAATAATATTATTACAACACCCAAGTTTAGTCTCTAAGCAGTTTTAACTTTTTTATATTTTTGTTTTTTTGATTCATCATCAACAAGACTGCAAACCACCACAAGTTCGGTCAGGAAAACATGAAGATAGGAAAGAGTTCCAAAGAATTTTTTTTTTTGTTTTATAATTTTTTTTAGGTGCCCCAAGAAGTCCTATCTTATCACAGAGCACCGCAGATGAGCATTTAATTGGAAGTTCATGCCTCCTTCCCAACCGATGTCACAAAACTTTCCCATAAGAAGGGTTTGAACCACGGATCCTTTGTTTCTGAGGCAAGTGCGCTACCACTGCACCACGGCTGCCATAGTTTTGAAGTGCGTGGAAAAAAATTAGACGAATAAATTTTTTTAGAGCATGCAGGGGCAGGATACAGTAAACAATGAGACTTCGCTGAGTGACGATCTAAACAAGAATGAGTTTTAGTTGATGGAACTAGAATTTTGCTCACCTTCTGAAGTGAACGGACGTGTTTTTTTTTTTTTTTATGGCTTAGAATTTGTTTTAATCTAAAAAGTTGTTATTAAAAAAATATCTTTAAATAATAGTTTAATAATAAAACTACAGAAAAAATACAAACTGATACATTTTAGTAACTGTGTAATAAGATTCTATCTATCGAAATAATTGAATCAAGATTTTATCAACCATATAAATTTAATTATGGCAGTTACTCGAGATGACATTAAAAATATATTGAAGGAGATGTTTAGTGATTACAAAAAACAATTTGAAGAAATCTTAAAACAACAAGAAAAAAACATTATAGCCATTGTAAGTTCAAGCGCAAAAATAGTTCATGACCGCTTAGATAAAGTTGAAAAAAATATAAACGACAATGCCGAACGAGTTAAGTCAATAATAAAGGATGTTGAAGAAATGAAATTAAGCTTAAATTTTCATGAACAGCTTATTGATGATAAAATAAAACCTGCAATTAGTAATCAGGAAAAGATAAATCCATCTGGTAGTGAAATAACTAAAGTAAACTCGGAATTCCTTAATATAAAAAACAAGTTAAGGGAAATGGAAGATCGTTCGAGGCGAAATAACTTAAGAGTAGACGGTGTAAAAGAGAATGAAAACGAAAGCTGGGAAGAGACCGAATCAAAGGTAAAAAAATTATTTGAAGATTATCTAGATGTAAAAAATGTTAAAATAGAACGAGCTCACAGAACTGGCAAGAAAGATGCAAA